TCAGCAGGATATGAAAAATATAATACATCATAAGCAAGAGGAGTTTTACCCGTGGATTGAAAATATAGCTCAACAGAAATGTAATCCACCAGGTTAACAGATTAAAAACCATATGATTATCTCAGCAGATGCAGAAAAGCATTCGGTAGAATTCAACACTTTCATAATGTGCTGAATGAATCAGGGGAACAGGCTAAACTTAGCCTTATGGTGAATCCCTTTATAAAGCAACTTTCATCTCATCTATATTTTACGTAAATACAGATTTTCAAATATTAGTTTTTCTTTTCATAAAGGTTTAATTGCATGTCAGACCCAAATATGTCCAGAAGCTCTGCTCAGTTCTTCTGGAGAACACAAAAAACCCACAAAGAAACAAAAAAGTAATGTCGAACTTGAAGGTAGCTATTTGTATTTTCTGTATTTCAGTTGCAGTCAGCTGTACCAGGCAGGTTCTTTGAGTATCCATTTCCCATGGGGTCCCTAAGTAGCATTCCATTTTCCAGTTTGAGTGCAGCGCCCAGTGCCTGGGTTGGGCGGAATGAGGCAGGTCTGACCCAGGGTGACGTGAAGCAAGTACCTGTCTTGTGGCCTGGCGTGACCTCAGCCACCTTCCTCATTGACTCCATTTCTGTGGACACCCCTTTCTCATCCTCATCCATGTGTGCAGGTCCAAAGTGAAGACAGTACATGAGCGGATCCCCTTGGCTGGACTGAGCAAGTTGCCCAGCGTCCCTCAGATTGCAAAGGTAAAAACTGACACTGAGAGGAGGTGGCTTCCTCTTTTAGGCCAGGTCTGGCCTCTGGGGTGGGAGCGGAGGCTCGTCCTGGGTGGGCTGTGCCCTTGGGGAGGGGAAGGCCATTGTCCTCTTGGGCCCTTGACTGCATGGATGCGGTTGGGGGGAGCGGTTGGCGGATGCCCCCCTTTCCTCTACACCTTGCCCATCTCATCCTCGCTGCTGAGGCTGATCAGGGAACAGGATAATCCATGGTCTCTGCCCCCAAGTTCACAGCTAGTTCAGGAGACAAGAGAAATGGAGAGACAGGGCTGGAGAATAGAGGAGGAGGGAGGGGAGGGGGCAGCTGGGGAGACTTCACAGCCGAGGTTGAGGGATGACCGGGCTGTTGATTGAGATGGAGGGCCCCCCCCCCCAGGGAAGGAGCCACCAGCCGG